AAAAAAGAAGGTGGCTGCTCCTTGTTCATTCAACTAATATTTATTGAGCAGATTCTGAGAGGCAGGACCTGCCCTCCTGGGCTTCCCCGTCAAGTGGGAGACAGGAGTCAATAGGCAATGATACCACACAGTGCTTGGAGGCTGTGGGAGGCCCAAGGAGGCACACTAACCCACCTGGTGGTCAGGCAGGCAGGCTCCCTGGAGTAAGTGCAGGTTGCCAGGAGCCTGGGAAGTTGAGCGGGGGTCAGCAGTGCTTGGGGCCTACAACTGAGGGTGGAAAATCTGAGCTGGGCCTCCCAGGAAGCTCACAGTCTCCCTGGAGAGACAAGATGCGGACACACAGAAAGAGAACAGTACAAAGGAGTCTTTTTGCCAGGTATGGGGGGAGGGGTGCTCTGGGGATTCAGCGGAGGGGGCATGGTATGGGCTAGAGGGTCAACAGGTAGAATAGGTGAGGAGAGTACCCTCCAAATGGGGCACTGTCTTCTCTTGAAGTTTTCTTTTAACATTTTATTTGGAAGTAATTTCATACTTTCAGAAGAGTTGCAAAAATAAAATAGTACAAAGAGTATCCATATGCCTTTCACTGGATTCACCTGTTAATTTTATACCCCATTTGCTTTATCATTTGCTGTCTATGTGTGTGTGTGTATGTGCATGTGTGTATATATATACATGCATATATACATACACACATACAACACACTTGTGATTTTCCACTGAATCATTTGAGATTAAGTTACATGCATTATGGCTATAGCCCTTTACCCTTAAATACTTCAGTGTGTATTTTCTTTTTTTTTAATGTTTATTTATTTTTGAGAGAGAGTGAGACCGAATGTGAACAGGGGAGGGGCAGAGAGAGAGGGAGACACAGAATCCAAAGCAGGCTCCAGGCTCTGAGATGTCAGCACAGAGCCGGATGCGGGGCTTGAACTCACGAACCGTGAGATCATGACCTGAGCCGAAGTCGGATGCCTAACCAACTGGCCACCCAGGCGCCCCTTTCAGTGTGTATTTTCTAAAACTAGGGGTATTTTTTTTTTCATGAAGCCACATTATATCCAGCTCATACATTTACGTTGATACAGTATTTTAGTCTATTTTCAGTTTTATCTGTTGACCTAATAATGTTCTTTATAACATAGTTTTGCTCTCTCAAATAAGATCCAGGCTAGAATCAGCTCTTGCACTTAGTTGTCCCATCTCTTTAACCTCCTTTGGTCTGGAACACTGAAACTGTTTTCTTTTCAAGGTAATTCATTAGCTGGTTTCACCTCCTTTAAAAAATAACAACAAAAAAAAGTGACACTGGTGGTTAAGAGACTTGGAACCAGTTAGCTCTGAATGTGAATCCCAGTTACACTATTGTTATTCACTCTTATCACTCACTGTTACTCGCTATATGATTTTTCTTGTAAAGCTGCACATATTTATTAGATGCATAGAAGTAGCAGGCACCAGGAACTTGTCCTGGAGATACTACAGCAATAAAAAAGATGGGGGAAGACAGAAAATCAGCTCTTAGAAAACCCTGGGGATGAGTTCAGATAATGATCATTGGTGCTATCGGAAAATAGATAAATATTGCAACTGATGGGAGGGAGGACTCTTGTGGAATGACCTCTCCAAGGAGGTGACATATGAGCTGAGACTTGCACAATGACAAGGACACAGTCATGGGAAGATCTGGGAGAAGCGTGTGTGCTCCAGGCAGAGGAAAGAGTATGCGCAAAGGCCCTGAGGTGGGAAGGAGCTTGGTAGATTTGAGAAAGAGTAGAGAGGCAAATGTGACTAGAGAAGATTGTAGATGAGGAGAGGAAGAAGGCAGGAGCCAGAGCACAAAGCATCTTGGTACGGATTTGGATTATTCTTAGCCAATGTGTCACCTCTCTGAGCCTCAGTTTCCCTGTTTGTAAAATGGGTCTCCTAATAATACCAGCCTCTTAGGATTCCTGTGAGGCTTAAGGAGAGGATATGGTATGCAATGGTAAGCACACTTGTGTTTGGTAAATGTGACTGACTGTTACTTGTGATACAAGGTGGGGAAGGAAGTGGATGGCTCAGATCCTTCTCCTCTGAGCAGGGTCTGAGCAGTACGTGAGGCATCTGACACTAGCCCACTTGCCCTATCAGGTTACCCTGGTTTCCAAGCCACCACCTACGCCAGCCGGAGTTATACAGGCCTCGCCCCTGGCTACACCTACCAGTTCCCCGGTAAGTCCTTCTTGGTGTCTCTCTGCCACCAGCATGTCCCCGGTTCCCGGGCAGTCTGACTCCTCAGGGCGGTGTCTGGGGGTGCATGGCTGGGGGTGGGGGTGGTCTGCCTGCTGGAGGCTTGGAAGGAAGGGCATGTCTGAGGAAGGAGCACCTCTCCCCACCCATCCCCTCCTCACCCCTTCCCCAGAAGCTGGGGGCTCCCCCACCCCCACCCCACGTGGTCTTGCATGGCACGATTCTCTCCCAGGCTCATCTCTGCCTGCCTCTTGCCTTTCTCTCCTCCTCACCCCGTCCTGAGTTGCCACTTCCACCAGAGAAGGCATCAGACTCGGTGGAGGCCTCCCTGAGGGCCAATGCCGGCTGTGTCTTTATGGACATGCTTATAATGACCACGTGCTACGCTGAGCTCCTTCAAGGCCAGCAAGACCTTTTGCGACCCTGAATGCTGAAAAACAATTTAAAAGCCTGACGATCACCACCCTCATTTGTAATTCAAAATAAAAATAACACTAGACCTTAGAATAAGTGGCAGGAGGCCCAACAAAGTTCTGAATTTTGCCATGATAACTATTCAACGTTGTTTTCTTTGAAATATCAGATATCAAATTTTTGCAAGCTTCTTTTTTTTTTTTTTCCTGGCCTTATTTTTTTTAGAGGGTCCCTAAGCACTTGCATTCTTTGCCTTTCAGGCTGTCTAGCTTAGAGTCCTTTCTGCACATTATGTTGTCTAAGCCTGACAACACTCTCGTTGGGGAAGGGTGATCATCCTCCTTTTACAGTTGAGGAAATGGTCTCAGAGAGCAAAAGTGACTTGCTAAGAAGACCCACCTAGAAAGTGGTGGAGCTGGGAACCCAACCTGAGCCTGACCTGCTCTAGGGTCATTGTTTTTTATCAGTGTTGCCTCCCCAGCTCCTCCCCCTAAAAACAAAAACAGAAACAAACAACAACAACAGTAAAAGAGGAGGATTCTGGAAGGTGTTTTGGTGCAATGTCAAATCTTTTAAGAAACACCAGAACAGAAGCTCCGGCATTGCCCCGTGGCCAGGGTGTAGGGGGCAACTCTGCCTACTGTCTCTCTCTGTCTCTCCTCTGTGTCTTCTCCACCTTTGCCTGCTGGGGACCGTGCTCTCCCCATCCCAGCTCTTGGGTCCTGTGCATGGCCTGTCCCCTACCCAGTGTCCCTGTGGGTGCATTTGTCCTCCCTGGGCCATGCCCCAGGGGCCTCCCCTGTATCTTCCTAAGCTGTTTTACGTTTCATTTTAGAATTCCGTGTAGAGCGGACCCCTCTCCCGAGCGCCCCAGTCCTCCCCGAGCTTACAGGTCAGTCGCTCGGATTTCGTACACCTCACAGGCCTCATGGGGAGAAAGAGAAGGACCCAGGGATTTTCCCCGGGGAAAGCTAGTGGGACCCTCTTCTCCTGCCCACCAGCCCTCTGACTGTGGGGATACAGCAGACTCTGCCCAGGCCCTGGCCAGTCTGTGTAGCTACTTGGCCCTTAAGGGTGGGGCATAGGGCCAAGCCCAGCAGATGGAGGCAAAATCACTCATTCATCCATTTGGCAAATATTTATCTAGCGCCTCCCGTGTGCCAGGCACCAAGTAGACTCTGGGATCCAGCCGTGAAGAAGCCAGGGTCTCAAGCTCAGAGCAGAGTGGGCCGGGTGGGGACTTTGACAGACTTGTGCACATGCCTCCACTCCTTGCCAGCCGACCCTTGCCAGGACGGGATGCACACCTAATACTTTCAGATCTCAGTTTCCAAGAGAAGCCAGAAACCCAGCTTTTGCTTTGGAATGGATTTTCCCATCATTTTCAAATGTTGGCAACAAATTCCAAATTGTTAAACCACTGCAGGCCAAATGAAACCTATTCGAGGGCCAAATACAGCCCCCGGGGCTGCCCATTTGCAACTTCTGAGCAAGTGGATGAAGGTGCTTGGCCATCAAGAGCCGTTTCTCCAGCTGCAGCTTGCACTTGGGCCAGTCAGCTCTGCTCTGGAGCAGGGGGGCCGAGTCCAAAGGGAGGGGAGGGGTATGTGCAAATGAGGTGGGCTGCAAGGGGTTTCTCTGTTCAACCTGCTTCTTTCCCCACCCCACCCTAGACTCTCCCCCCCAACCTGGCCGTGTGTGGAGGACGTGAGCATGGATGCTGCTTTAGATGAGACCTTCCTTCCAAGGGGTGCTCAGGGGTCCCTCAAAGTGGGGGGAGGGGAAAAAACAGGGGGTGAGGAAAGGGGAGGAGTAAAGCGTCCTATAGGTGGGGGTGGTAGTGGCCCTTCCCTGAGCAGAGTTGGGTTCGACCCGCGATGGGGGGTTGGAAGCGGGGGTTCCTTTCTACTCATCTAAGAGCATTGTGTTGAGGACCTACAGTGTGGGACACTCCGCCAGGCCCTGGGGGCACAGCAGGGGCAGGACAGAGCCAGGCCCTGCTCTCACAGGACTTGCAGCCTAGAGAGGAAAACAAATACTTATATAAATGAGTAATCCTTTACAGTCGTGAAGCTCTTGCTCCGGTTGGCCACGCTGAGTTTGCTTTGTGGAAATGCCTCAACAGACCAGGAACCAGACCTCAGAGCCCAGCCCCTGCCCTTAAAGAAGTGAGAAAGAAATGTCCCCTCAGCAGATAGCTTGGTGCAGGGGAAGGGGTTTCCCCTGGAGGTGTGGGGTCTGAACTTTTCTCTTGCCTTCAGGAGACATGGGTATTTTCCTTCACGCATTCAGTAGAGATTTATCATGTCAGATGCTGTTCCAGGCAGTGGGGATACCACAGTGAATGAGACAGACAAGGCCCCTGCCCTCCTGGAGCTGGAGAAAGCAATAAACAAGTAGACAACCAAACGAATAAAATACTTGTGGAGGGTGAGAAGTTCCATGAGGAAAATAAAACAGGGAGATGTTCTAAGGCCTTGGGGCCAGGGGCAGGGGGCTGCCTTTGCGAGGATGGTCAAGGAAGGTAATGTCTGGACGAGGAGCCAACTGTATGTATGGCTCTTAGGCAAGGTGCCTTCACAGTGTGGGAACACTGCGGTCCCAGACTTTAAGCCCCCAGACCAAAGGCCTTGCCAGGAATTTTCAGGAGCCATTTCCAGGTCCCTAGCCCCAGGTCCAGTTCCAGTTCAGGGTCAAGGTCACCAAAACAGCCCCCAGAAGGTGCATCTTGGGATGGGAGACAAGTATTCCTGAGGGCAAACCAGCTCAGAAGATCCTGGCTCTGGGTGGGGTTGTAGCCTGAGGGGCTGCAGTGGCAGAGCCAAGCAGTAGGGGGCGCCCACCACCCCAAGCCAAGGGAGCACCAGGTTCAAGCCAATGGCTTATTTAAAAAGAGGCTCCGAAAAAATAAATAAATAAATAAAAATAAAATAAAATAAAATAAAAAGAGGTTCCACCCTCCCCCCCGCCAAAAAAGAAGAGGGAGGTCCCTTTTAGGGGCTCATGGCTGGCTCAGTCCATAGAGCATGCGACTCTTGACCTTGGGGTTGTGAGTTTGATCCCCTGGATGTAGAGATTTTTTTTTTTTTAATCTTAAAAAAAATAATTAAAAAAAAAAGGTTCCTTTTACTCCTTCGGCAGACATTTATTAAACACTACTGTGTATAAGGCACTGTGGAGACGGACTGGAGGTAGACAGCAAACAAGGGAATAGCAATTATCTCTGTGTCTGAAGAGGGGATCCGAGAAAAGGGGGCTAGAGGAATTGGGGGGAGGTAGTGGTCACTTCTGGCTGGGTGGCAGTCAGGGGAACCCTGAGGCAGGGAATTGGGGTGCACACAAGCTACTGAGGGCGTGCTCTCAGGAGAGGGACAGTGAGGGAAACAGGACAGGCAGCAGAAGGGTTGAAGCCAAATTGTGGCCTTGACTGGAATCTGGCTTCAGCCTGATTCCACAGGCAGCTCTGGGGCACTCACCGCACCTCAGATAAGGTCCCACCTTGAGGCAGCAGGCCTGGCTTCTTGCACCCCATGTCAGTCAGTCACTGGCTGCAGTCAGCTGAGGTTGGGATGAGGGCTGTAACCTCCCGGGGACCTCTGAGCTAGGTGGCCCCATTCGGCGGCCAAGGGCACTCTCTGGAGAAGGGGGCATCGCTCAGAGCAGCTGGGGGGGGGTGCCCCGCCCCCACCCTCTAGTTGTTTTATGTGGTTCATATGTGTCCCTTGAGTCCAGGGGGGAAACCGAGGTTCCATCCATTACTAGGAGGCCATCCGCTCTCCTACCTTTCTCCATCCATTCCGTGGGTCAGGGCACAATTGGTGGCCCAAAGGAGTTCTTTCTGCCTCGGCACTGGCGCTGCACCGACCCTCTGAGGTGGGGTAAGGCTGGAGAGACGGCCCAGAGGGGGCCTCCGTTATCCACCTCCGTGCCTTCAGCCACCACACTGAAGTGCCCATACCTTCCCTTTTAGCCATTCCTCTCACTGCTTACGGACCAATGGCAGCAGCGGCGGCGGCAGCAGCTGTGGTTCGAGGGACAGGTAAGGCCTTCTGGGATGCAGGAAGCTGACGAGGGGTGGGCAGAGAAGTCTAGAGGGAAGGGGAGGTAGCCACTGCCACCCTTTTGCAGAGGGACTTATTCATTTGCTCCACAAACATTCACTGAGCACATTCCTGGTGAGCCAGCCAGGAAGGGGACCCCTTGTCCTCAGCTTACAGGCTGGTGGGGGCATCAGGTTTTATTACAAAGGCAGTAAATTCTGAAGGATGATTCTGCTCTGCTGGGGGAAGTCAGGGCCTAGGAGAGCTCACAGCTGGAGCCTCTCAGGAAGGCTTCCAGGAGGAAGGGGCTCTTAACTTCTAATTTGAAGGCAAGAGGAAGAAAAGTGTCCCCCAGGGAGGTCAGTTAGCATTAGGGGGAGCACAGGAATGGGGAGTGGAGAGAAGAAGGTAGGAGAAACCAGGTCCTGGGGAGACACGGATCATTTAAGTAGTGGAGTGATGTCGCTTTTAGAAAATGCACTCAGCTGCAGCATGGGGAGAAGTCTGATGGGGCCCAAGAGGGGAGGCCTGGAGGTCAGTGAGGAGGCTGCTAAATGGTCAGACAAGATGGTGGGAGTGGATGGACTTGGAGAGACCTCCAGGAAGTGGACCCACAGGCCCTGCTGGGATGTAGGGTTGAGGGAGAGGGAAGGGTGAAGTCAGGGTGGGTGGAACAGGTTTGAGGGGGTGTTGTGGGGCAACAGTGGGCGCCGTGGCTATCACCGTCTTCTTTCTGGGTTGCCAGGCTCTCACCCCTGGACGATGGCTCCCCCTCCAGGTTCAACTCCCAGCCGCACGGGGGGCTTCCTGGGGACCACAAGCCCTGGCCCCATGGCCGAGCTCTATGGGGCAGCCAACCAGGACTCGGGGGTCAGCAGTTACATCAGCGCTGCCAGCCCCGCCCCCAGCACCGGCTTCGGCCACAGTCTTGGGGTGAGTGGCTGGTCCTGGAAGACTCAGAAGTTGGAGGAGGGAGAGGCTTTGTCTTTCTGCACAGGCAGAAGGGAGCCCAAGGGATGATGGATGGAAAAAGAGTGTCACTTGGGGGAACAGTTGGGGGGGGGTCATCATTCAGTGTGCCGGGCATGAGGCTCTGGGGACATCACGCAGACTCACCATCTCTGCCCACCCAGATTCTAGCTCAGGAATGTCCTAATTTTAACCAGGGTACTGGTAATATACAGATTCCAGGCCCTACCTGCAGTGGAGATGATATGGGCAGGGCTACAGAAGGGTCCATGCTTCACCCTTGGTCGGAAGAGAGGAGCCCCGGGACCTTCTCTGCTTCCCTAAGAATCCAGGAATCAAATTTTTTTTCTTCCCAGGGCCCTTTGATTGCCACAGCTTTCACCAATGGGTACCACTGAAGCAGGAGACAGGTGGCAGGAGGTGAGGAGGTGGTCAGGGGTCGGGTGGGGGTGGCCCTGGGCAGGCTCATATGGGCAGCCCAATCTGGGCCACAGACCTTGTCCTGCCTTCATGGAGCCCACAGTCCGGGGAGGAGACGGAACTTCCAGCAGCGGTCAATGAACCTGAAAAGCTGCTCCACCCGCTACCTAAAAAATGTAAATGAAAAACACAAGGCAACACATACTACCTATCAGGCAAAGAGTTTTTAAGATTGCTAATGCCCAACATTGATGAGGGTGTAGGGGAAGCAACGTGTAAATTGACTCAGGGTTTCCAAAGGGCGGACTGGCACTATTTATCTAGATTTTAAACATTCATGTCCTTGACCCAACAATTCCACTTCTAGGCATTTATTTGAAAAACTGCAAGGGACTGGGGCGCCTGGCTATCTCAGTCAGAAGAGCATGCGACTCTTGATCTCGGATCATGAGTTCAAGCCCCACGTGGGTGTAGAGATTAAACAAAAAATTTTTTAACTGCAAAGAACTGATATGCCCATCAAAAGGAGAGTGTTTAAATAAATTAGAGCATTTGCATACAATGGAATATTACACAGCCATTAAAACAGGATACTGTCAGCAGATAAGCACATCCAGAGAGTGTGAGAGAGATAACTCTGTACACACAGTCATATGAGGATACTGTGTGAACCTGGGACCTCTCCTTCCTTCCTTCGTGCATTCATTCAAACAACTAGTTATTGAGCCCTGTTTCAGGAAAGAAGGGTGTATGAGACAGATGAGTTCCCGCTCTCATTCTACAGACAAAAATCAAGCGAACAAACGAGATACTTCCAAATGATGTGAGAAGGGGTTACTTCAAATTAGAGATTCAGAGAAGGTGCCTCTGAGAAGTTGGCAATAGAATAAACCCAGTCATTGAAAATCTAGGGAAAGAGCATTACGAACTGGGAACAGGGCCTGCGAAGTGTGTGAGCAAAGCTCTTCTAGGAGAGCCTACCTGTGTTCTGGGGACCCCCAAAGAGAGGCTGGGGTGGGGAGGTGGCAGGTTGCCA